TAAAGCTGACTTTCCCCGAGAGTGTGTGTTTTTATAGCCCCTTGCAGACCAAGGCTCAAAGTGGCCCTTAACATCGCTAAGCAGAAGAAACTTAAGATTTATAAGACCACTTGCCAGAGGGGAAAAAGGAGGGTGGAGGGATAAATTGGGAGTTCAGGATTTGCAGATACTAACTACTATATATAAGACTGATAAACAAGGTCCTACTGTATAGCACAGGGAATTATATTCAATACCTTGTAATACCCTATAATGAAAAAGAATATGAAAAGGAATATATATCTATTTGTATAACTGAATCACTACACTGTACACCAGAAATTAACACATTATAAATCACCTATACTTCAATAAGAACATATATATATATATATATTTTTTTTTTTAAGATCATATGGGAAGCAAGAGTTAGATGCAGAAAACCCACTTTTCTTCACCCCATTAGGACACTGTCCCCTTCTCCTTAAGAATCTGTGCAGCTTTGTGCTCCTGGGAGAATCCTATTTTCAAAGGTTTGTTTTTGACTCACCTTTTCTGCACTCTCTCATCCGAGTGTCATCTGGAAAGTGGAAAAGCCCTGCTCCGGGATTTAGCACTCTCTCCCTGGAGCCACTCGCCAGTGAGCCCGTGCCCGCATGCAGGACCCACAAGGTGGGGTCTCTGTGATGACACTGGGGATCTCAGAACCAAGGGAAGTAGGTTTGGGGCACAAGCATTTTTTATGGGATATGACATGGATGGCTTTTCTCTTCCCACGTTAGTGGAGGAAACAATGGCAGATGAGATGCAAAGCGAACTGAATTTGCCTTTGAAATGTGCTCTCCAATTTCCACGCAGTCCCTCTGCACGACACTGTACAAAGACCAGACTGAGAGTCACGCACCAGTGGTGGGGCTGTTTAGGGTGTGGGTGCTGCTACCTCAGTAGGAAGGTGGGAGAGGAAAGGGCTGGGAGGCAGGGTGGGAGGGTGTTCGGATGGCTCAGGGAGGCACACTGAGACCGAAGCCATCACTGTGTGCTGGTGGCTCCATTGCAGGTCTGAGTGGACGAGGGGAGCTTTCTTCTGGTTCTTAGGCGCTGGCCTGACTACACAGTGAATTTCTGCTCCTGGTTATTTCAGAGTAAGCTTGGTTTTAAGCCCCTTCATTGTGAGGAGTCTGTAATAGCCTCTTCTGTTCTTGGAAGAGTTTGTAATGGCCTCATAAAGGGTTGTTCAGGCAGCAAGACCGAGGAAGAAGCTTCCAGAAAGGAGGGCACACTGCTTGTCTCCACAGCCTTGCCTCTGCCTGAGGGTCCTCTTATTTTATCAATCGCTGAATTGTTTTCAACAAACCTGTTGCTCAAGTTCTTTAAGTCACTTTCGCATCTTTGCAACTATATGGATACTCGGGGGGAAAACTGGTTATCATCTTAATCCATTCAGCATGGCCAACCTGATCACCAGCAAAGAGCTGATGAAACTGAACGAGGCGTTTTCTTCATTCCATCCTGTGCGCCAGCAACCGTGGAGGCTAACAGCGGTCACTGCATAAAGTTCAAAGGTAGGGCCTCTGAGATGTTGAGCAAAAAGAACCAGAGATTTCATTAAAAGTAAGACCATCCCCGATGACCCTCTTCAGAGCAGAGTAGGTAGGAGGGCTCTGACGCCACACTGTGTTGGTGTGAATCCCAGCTCCGGCACTTACCTGCTGTGTGATCTTATGAAAGTTACTTAACATGTCTGTACCTCAGTTTCCTCATCTGTAAAAATATCAATCCTAACATCTATTTTATGTTGGGAGGACTGCGGAAGTTAAAAGGAGCTTAGAACAGAGCCTGGTACTTAGCAAGGGCCTTATAAAAGTCTATTAAAATAAACCTATGCATGTAACAGCACACACAGCTGGGGTATGTTCACTCAGCACTGTTGGCTTCATGGCAGAATGACTGAAGCCTCATCAGGCTGTTCCACACTTGCAAAGAATGCAACCAATGCAGGGGAGCAGGGTAACTTGGACCTTGTCCATACCCACCAGAATCAACAAACAGCACTTTGAAACCTAATGGGAGCAGCGAGACTACTGTGAAGCCACAGGTAGTGTGCTAGTGACACGTTTGTTGTTCTTTCTGCCAATGGCTCAGCCAAATCAACCAGCAAAGGACAACTGTCAGTCCTATGGCTGTGACGCGGTTTACACCTAACTCAGCAAAAAGAAACAACAGAAACCCTAGATAGGACAAGGCAGAGAGAGGGGAGGGAAAGCCTTTTTGTTCCTTCTTGGGCTAAAAGGAAACCGTGGGGCAACTCTGGGAGCTGCTGGGAACTCCTAAGGCTGCCTCCAGTTTTGGATTTGGTCTGTGACACCAGCGGCCATCACTGCGTGTTACTACTGCATTTGTGACTCCGAGTCCCCAGGAGTGACGACTAGTTTTTAGGGGCTCCCGACTACCCCATTTCTGGGCAGATGACCTACAGATGCTCAAACCCTTCCCCACCCACCCCTGATCTGCGCAGGCCTCAGGGAGCCTGATTTGGGTTCCCAGGAGACACCTGTGGTCCCAGCACTGGCTGCAGCACCCCAAAGTTTGGTTGGAAGTTGCAGGACTTCACAAAGCCTGCTGGTGGATCACTGGAAAGGCCAGGGCTGCCTCCGAACACAGAGCAGCCTCTTACCTCGCTCAAAGCAGAACGAGGTGTGTGCCATCCACCTCCTCTGGCATTTCCCCAGCCCTTCTCACAGGGAGCTAAATGCCACGCCTCATTGATCGGTCAGTAAGTTGTGTTTATTGAGCTGACAGCAGGTATGTATGGGGTGTGGGAGCCGCAGAGAAAGACGGATGAGAAGGGAAGAAAACCAACCAGAGGCAGATGTTAGGGTTGATGTATAAAGAAGAGGACCCTCCGCCGTCCCCTCCTTCGCGCGGCTGGGCTGTCCGCTCCTGTCACGCTCCCCGGGACGTCTGCTCACGCCTCCCTCGAAGGCTCCACCAGAAACGGGCACGGGACTGCCCAGCGCTAGACAACCCTTTCTTTATGCAGTGCTGACCTCTAGAGGCTTCCAATCAAAAAGCATCCCAAAGGACCAACTTAGTTTTACTGCCGGTTTTTACATTCCGTGTCGTTGCCATATTTTCCTGGAAAGCGAGGAGAAAATCTCTCTGCTCCTTTACGTGCTGCCTAATGGGAAATGCCTCCCTTATTCTTTCGCTGCCTAATTACAGCTTGCTCAGAATTTTAGAAACATCTGTCATTGTTTTCCGTTCCAAAGAAGGAAAAATGATAGGTCAGAGATCAGGAAAGTATTTCAAAGTTAGTATTTGCCCACCAGGGAACTAAGAGGAAAGCCCCAGTGCCAGCTACTTCAGGACGCATTTTGTGGGTTTCCAAAGTACCGGACAGCCAGGCGCGCCAAGGGAGAAGGGGATGTTCACTGCCCGCACCCAGCACCCCCACCCCTGTTCAGCAGCGGGACGGCCCCTCCTGCACACACGAAGCCACCTGCCCGCCTGCTCCAGCGCTGGCGCAGGGTCCATACACTGGGCAGTGGGTTTTGTTGTGCTCACTTTATTTCAAACCATTAATGTCCACAATGAGCACTGGGGACAATGAGAGGTGTTCCACCTGGCCCGACGATACTATGAAAAACAAGACTCATTTCTAAAGGAAATGAGACTGTTTGTCACATCCCTAAGCAAAAACCCCAAATCTTTCTATTTTGTTGTCATTTTTTTTTATCCTGTATCCTTGATCACTAAAAGAAGGGAAGTGTAGGAAGGCAGGAGAAAGGATCCAGAGTGTCAGCATTGGGGCTAAGATACCCCCACTATTTTGACTGAAGTCTTTATTTCTAAAAGGGATCTTAGAGAAGATGCGTTCAAAGTCAGAGAAGTCATTTTGCTGATGTCAGCCGCCCAGCCCTGGTTTCATGAGACATTATTTTCCTGATAAACTTTGCTTCCCACCTGCCCTAACCCCACTAGCCGAGACAAGATACATTCCTGCAATGCCAGTGGCTGGAGGGAACCTGGAAGTGAGAACATACCCTTACTTTTACATATGAGGAAACAAAAACAGGGGTGGGCAGGTGCAGGGGACAGGGGACAGTTGACAGGCCCACGATCACACAGTCAGGGGGCAGACTGGGCTAGAACCCTTCACCCGAGGCAACCAATTTGAGAATGATTCACTGCAACGGGGAAAGTGGGTCTTTCTAACAACAGTCCGTGCCCTTAGATATAGAAGCCAATTTGCATTTTTAAAAGCATATCCGTGAGAGCGCTCAACTAACACTAGGAATTCTGTAACTTAAAAAGGAATTCTCCTGTGAAAAAGGCTTTGTCTGGGGAAGGCCATGTCACCATCAGGCTGAGGCCAGAATCTTACACCGAGTGAGGTCTGGAATGCTTACACACAGCCCAGCACTCAGTACAACCTCTGACATCAGGCACCTCAAAAACAAAGAAGCACGAATTAAGTCATCTGAAATGCACACACAAGCCTCTAGGCTGTACCTATTAAAGCAATCTCAAATCTAATTTAACAATCAAAGGAGACCTATTCATTTGGGGAAAGAAACTTACTCTTAATCAAATAATGGGACTTTCCACCAACGTCCAGATTTATTCTTTAAATGCCATTGTTTCTGAATAACAACTGGGAGGAAAGTAGTGGGAAATGGTGTCATGTCATGGTGTAACAATCACAGGTGCCTAATTGGTGTCATAAAGGATTCCTAATTAGGACAGAAAAAAATCTAAAGTTCGAAGGAAGAGTGGAAAATTACTGAATACCAGCTACAGCCATCAGGATCGATTAATGTCGCCAAACACATCAATTATTAACACCTGAATCACATCAGTGGTTCTTGTAACCACCCTCCCCCCCCCCCGCCCCCACAACAGGCCCCAACAACAGCGACCGCAAAGCTGGCTAATGGTCGCTATTCCCCACTCCTCCTTTACATCAAGTCAGGCATCGTCTAGGACGCGACGGGGTGAAGAGAGCAAACAAGAGGCAAATATCACCAGGGTTCGGAAGGCTCTTTAATAGCAAGCGTATGGTAATTACATCGTCAGATGAGATCCCCTCTCTCAGGGTAGGGAGGGAGGAGCAGGTGTGGACAGGTTTCAATTTTGGATTTACACTGCTTGAAGAATCTAACGCAGGGCAACAATTTTTGGCAACCCACTTCACAGCTGTGTAATTTACAAGAGATTTCTTTGAAAGGAAATACAAAGGCAAAGAGAGCATCACACCCTGCATGAAACATTTCTTGCCTCAAAACCAAAACCAAAACCCCAAACCGTTCCTTGCTTTTGCTTCTCGTGTAGACAGCTAAACTTTGTTCTCTTAACACAAATTAAGACTGGCTCACAGAGAGCTTCAGATTTTCCCTGGAACCAACGATTTACTTTCTCCTCTGAAAAGCTGACCCTAGTACAGAGTACGGCTCTGTATCTTATCTGCCTAGCTATCAGAAGGTACTTAAAGTCAAAAATGAATCTTAAGAGACAAAAATAAAAGAAAAAAAACAGGCAAAGGCAGTTTCACAAAGAACAGACTTTCAGTTTTCTCTGTGGTACTGAATAACTTGAATACACAGTCCTCAGCAAACTAAATGTTTATTTTTGTATGGCCTGGCGCCTGATTTAAGTACTTGTGCCTATTCAGCCATACCATGCTGTAAATGGACTTTCCAACAACATGAAATGCTCACAGGTCCTCGACTTTTGTAATCCAAATTTAAATAAAAATATCAAAGACAACACAGTATTTAACAATCTTCCCGATGAACATGAGCTATAGATATTTTACCAAGGACACCGTGTTGCCATGGATACCAGTGGCTACTGGCATTCTGGCAAGTTTGAGAATTATTCTGTATAAAATCTAAAAGATGTCAGCCTTTCATGTCATACCTGGTATCACAAAACCAAGATAACTGATTGTGTCTTTATGGAAGAGGATTCGTTTTTAATTCGAAAAATATGTGAGGCTTCTCTGGTAATCTGAAGACTAGGCAATGGCATCTCTTTGAAGTTAACACTCACTATAAGGAAGAGGGATCTGTGATCCACTAGAGTTTTAATTGTGCTCTTTCTACAACCCAGAAGCACAGTGGAGTGAGTGGGTAGGCTCTGCCCTCGGGAGCATTCCTGACCCGTGGCCTCCTCTGCAGGCGACAGCAAGATCAAATCTTGTTCACTTTCTGCCTGCCAGGTGACTGGGGCCCATCTCAGGTTTGTGAGCACTTTGGAGAGACAGGTTCTCCTGCTGGCAGCTGGCTTAGTGAGGAACAGAACTCCACCAGATCTGCAGGACACCCGTTGTCTCCTTGGGTGGGGGGCATTTTTAAAGCCGTAAAGCCACCCCACCCCAGGCCTTGCCTCTCAACACACAAGCAGGCCCTTTGAGGACAGCAGGCTCCTGGTGAGACAGCCAGGACAACAGTGCTCGTGCACTCCACACGGTAACTGCTTCTTGGCTTGTTTTATCTTTAAAGAATCAGACCCTAACTCTCCCATTCTACCTCTCTTATCTCCTTCCACCCCAGAGTAAGTCCTGTCTATTCCCATGTGCCTCTCAAGCCATGAAACATCGGATATGCTCACACCCCAGCCTCCCCACTTGTGGGTTTTAAGATGCAAGGCGGGTTCCTCAAATGCGAGTTCTCATCGGTGATGCTCTAGCATCACCGCTCCCCAAAGTCCCTGTACTTTGTGCTCTTACGAAACAGAAGACGTACTTGTGCTACAGAAAGGTTTCTACTCCTATGTGGAAAATGACTGTGACTATGAGAGCAGAGAGGTTTTCACTTAAGGACACTGGAAACCTCCTTCTGGCACCAGGACACAAGGAGAATTGCTAAATAAAAGACTTCTCATACTCTAGGCATGGGAGGGAAAAAGCACTATGCTGCTGGGAGCCTGGGAGACTTGAGTGGACACCACAGTAGCTGATTATCAGGCAGGGAAAAGTAACCAGGTGGCCATTAGAAAAATGTCTCTGGGATTCACTCAAACCTGCGATCGAGGTTTTGTAACGTGATCACAGGCCTGACTTCACAGCTAGCCCACAGTGATCAACAAGCAGTCAAGCATTCCCCTATTCACACACCTACACACACACACACACACACACTCACTTTCTATTACTTCTCTTTTTCTCTACTGGATGACATGACAAAAAAGTCAAAGTCATTTTTCACTCCCATCCAGGTATTCTTTGCGCACATGTCCCCCTCTCAGTTAAGTGAGACTTATTCCACTTCTAAAGCCCCAGTCTGTCGGGGCACAAAGCAAATCCACACCTTCCACAGCAGAGCATGCACAACTCGGACAAGTACGTTCTCCGTATCTCCTGGGGCCCTACTTTACCCTCTCACCTGAGGAACAGCATTCCATCAGCCCCTCAGCGTCAGCCCCGAGGGGGTTTCGACACTCACAGACCAACACAAATATGTGCTGAGGGCGTCCTGTGGCCAGGATCCTAAGGATGGCAAGGTTCAAAATGTCCTTCCTTCCCACTTTCCAGAAAGTTTCCTTGATGGTTGCTTTTCATACACACACGTCGTAAGGCAGTTAAGGAAGGACGGTGGTTAAAGCCGGAAGGGCAAACACCTCTCGTTTCAGGTTAGTGAAGTGACTTTCCCAAGAGCACGCAGTCACTGGCAGAGTCAGGATGAAACCCAGGTCTCCCTCCCAACTGCTGGGTCTACCCTCCTCCCACGGCACCACACTGCCTCTGGGTAAGTGTGTTTACGTGTTTGTGGGAGTCCAGAACTTGTCTAGCCAGGGAACCACTTCCAGAACAAGAACCACTGCCTGCCTGACTCCCGGACATGTCCGGTGACGCTCTTCACTGATGCACACACGACCCGGGCAGGAGCCCGCGGGGCGGGCGGGAGTGTGCACGTGAGCACGTGTGGCAGCGAGCACTGGCAGGGACGGGCACAGCCGGAGAAAACAAAGCGTTAGAGGAAACGATCTGATTCGCAAATTCCCTTTGGGGGTTTTGCCAGGAAAATAAGTAACGCACAGCGATGTTCTCCCCTGCCCGGCGGCAGAACAAAGACCAGATTTCTCCTGGGCACACTGAATGGCCCACTGAATGGCTGAGTCTCTCTCAGCTTTACAGACAGAGAGCATTAACATAAAAATACCAAAATGCATTTGGTCTAAGCCTAAACACTTTCTTGATAAAATACATTTTATATTAATGTCTATTCCATTTCCAAACATATGTAAATTTAGGTTTTAAGCCTCTACATATAAAACCCCAGTTTACCTGTGAATGGAGTGAGCTAGTCAAGCTTCTTCATTTCAGTGGCAGAAGTCATTCTTCTACTGTGTTAAAATGGAGCTGGAGCTTACAAAACTGGGCGCTATCTATGGGAGGGCTGGCTCACAATCACCTGTGCTCAGGTACAGAGCCAATCAGAACCCAGGCAAGGGAGCAAAGCACGGAATCCGCTCGCCCCGCGGGATGAAACCCCAAGGCTTGTTAACAGGCTACTCTGAAGGAAATTCATTTCACTGGAAGTTAAACTTTAATACACTTTCGTGGAAAGAAAAAAAAAATGGGGGTACCGAAGCACAGATGGAAACCACTACATTATTTTACCCAGTGACATAAAGCTGCTGTACACTGTTTCACCACAAGCAGCTGCGCTCCTCACAGCACCAATCAATTAAACAGAAAATGCTGAGATAATCAGGTTGACGCAGACGTGCCTGGAAGACGTACAGGACTCCCCTTAGCTCTGTGGCTTCTGCTGCTACCTTTTCCTTTTTTTTTTAATCCAAACTTTGACAACCCAACAGGCATGTGTGTGCAAGTCAAAAAACGTTTCCACCCCAGATGTTACATTTAGTCAAGTGTTGTAAAAGAGGCGTTCTGCATCCTCCATTATTAAAACCAGAGTTGCAGAGAGGTCCAAGAAAAATGAATGTTTTAAATAATTCTGTGTTAGCACTGCAAAGAACCACCGCCCCACCAAGTGTTTGCTGCTAAGTGATGACAGTGTTTCCAGTTATGACAGCAGTTATTTCTGTGAGTTGTCTGAATATTCTGGTCATTAAAACTTCCCCTTTGTACCAAGCTAACCCATGATTAAAAGATTCCCAGCATCATGTCACTTTAGAACTTCACTGCAGTTAAGGTTCCCCAAAGCACTTGATTACAATTTTTTAATAAATTATACAGTGGGATCCTTTTCTTGATTTGTTTTTAAGAATAAAAGTTTTAAGAAACTAAAGAAGAATTCCATCATATTTCTTAAAAAAATTTATCCTGGTTTATTTTCCTATTAAATTTATCTATGGCTTCAAAGTTTAAGTGGCACTTGGATTTGGGATGTTTTCATGATTTAGCAAGTTGCCATCTTGTTATAAAGAGAGAAGGTAAATGTTTCATTTCATATGTGGGGTGGTTTATAAACATTTTAAAGAAATCAATAATTTATGTCACCCCATTTGTATTCTCCACTCTTAGACTTTGAAAGTGGCTTTGGGATCAGCATGTTTTAAAATAACTGAACATGCAAGTAATGTGTATACCTAACCATGAACCAGCTGCCATATATCCAGGTAAATCAGTGATGGCAGAACACTTAAACAAAGGCTTCCTTGCCTCTCTTACTCCCTAATCCAAACTAAGTAATTCTCCTTTTCTGCCCTTGTACTTGCACTTGTGCAGTTTAAAGACTAGATATTAAAACTCATGCTTTATAAGCAAAACCTTCCACTTACATACACTTAAAAGGTACATAAAAAGTGCAGACTGCATTTCTTCTCTGCCATGCTTTCCCTCAATAATGTCACCTGTGATGACTCAAAACATATCCTTAATACATTCAGAGTTCCCTACATTCGAGTCAGCAAATGTTAGTTCTCCAACATAAACTCAAGAGAGAACAGTCAGCCACAAAATGGACTCTAAATTCAAAACGGCAAAGGCTACCGAGACAACTCCGTAGAGACCCACTGAAACGGGAGTAAAATTCAGGTCACTTCTGAGCAAAGCTCATCCCCGATATTCTGTGGTCGTTAAAAAAGGTGTTTCATTTTAATTTGGATGCTGGGAGTCAGACGTCCTGTTTCGAAGTGCTAATGCAAAATGCTAACCCAGGAGCTCACGACCCCACCTCGGGCACCACGGGGCTCACTCTCCTTCTCAGGTGGGAGCCCTTGGAAGTCTACTGCTGACTGACCCCCATTTGGGGGTGGTCCGCCTCTGGCTCCTCCTCTTCCACGTCTGCACTGTACTCTTCAAACGCATCGTCATCTGCATCCGGAAGCCCCAGTAACTACAGGGGAGAGAAGAGAAGAAGCTGTGAGTGCCAAATGGCCCACAGGCAGGAGGACACCCAAAGGCATCTGATCCAAGTTCAACAGCACTTACGACAAAGGAGGCGAGACTATACAATGGAGAAGAGACAGTCTCTTCAATAAGTGGTGCTGGGAAAACTGGACAGCTACATGTAAGAGAATGAGATTACAACATTTTCCTCACACCATATACACAAATAAACTCAACATGGATTAAAGACCTTCCATTAAGACCGGAAACCATAAAACTCCTAGGAGAGAACACAGGTATAACATTCTTTGACATATATTGTGGCAATATTTTTTCAATCTGTGTCCGAAGGCAAAAGAAATAAAAGCAAAAATAAACAAATGGGACCTAACAGAACTTAAATGCTTTGTGCACAGCAAAAGAAACCACTGACGAAATGAAAAGACAATCTACTGAACAGGAGACAATATCTGCAAATGATATGAATGATTGGGGTGAATATGCAAAATGTATAAACAGCTCACACGACTCAACAACAACAAAAATACCCAATCAAAAAATGGGCAGAAGACCTGGATAAACATCTTTACAAAGAAGAAATGCAGGTGGTCAACAGGCACATGAAAAGATGCCCAGTATCACTGTTAGAGAAATGCAAATCAAAACCACAATGAGGTATCACCTCACACTTGTTACAATGGCTGTCATCAAAAGTCTACAAATAACAATGTTGGAGAGGAAAGGGAACCCTCGTACACTGTTGGTGGGAATGTAAACTGGTGCAGCGACTATGGTAAACAGCATGGCAGTTCCTTAAAAAAGTAAAATAGAACTACCATATGATCCAGCAATTCTACTCCTGTGTATATATCTGAAGAAAACGGGCACACTAATTCAAAAAGATACATGCACCCCAATGTTCATAGCAGCATTATATACAATAGCCAATATATGGAAGCCACCTAAGGGTCCATCAACAGATGAATGGATAAACAAGATGTGATACATACACACATACGCACATACACACACACACAATGAGGTGTTACTCAGCCATAAAAAAAGAATGAAATGCTGCCACTTGCAACAATGTGGATGGACCTACGGAGTATTGTGCTTAGTGAAATAAGTCAAAGACAAATATCCTACGTTATCACTTATATGTGGAATCTAAAAAATTAAAAAAGCAAACGTATACAACAAAACAGAAACAGACTCACAGATACAGAGAACAAACTACTGGTAGCCAATGGGGAGTGGGAAGGAGGGAATAAGGGGTACAGGATTGAGAGATATAAACTACTATATATAAAATAAATAAGCAACAAGGATATATTGTACAGCACAGGGAAATATAGCCATTGTTTAGTAATAACTTTAAATGGAGTACAATCTAAAAAAATACTGAATCACTACCGTACATCTGAAACTAATATAACACTGTAAATCAACTATACTTCAATTAAAAAAAAAAACTCAACAGCACTTAACAGGACTTAGCACAGCAGCTACAGACTTCCCGTGGGAGTCAACTAACCCCGCCATTATTTTTGTAAACTTAGTACATGGAAACGTCAATCCTTCAATGGATTGGTGCCCAAAGGGCTAGGTTTTAGTGAGGAGCCTGGAGATTCTCTAAGTATCAAAGCATGGCACCACCTCCACGTATGCACAAAGATTTATCTATGCACACACACACATATCTGGGCTGTCAGCAGTAGTACAACCAACAGTGCTATCCCCACAAGATGCTAAAAATCTATTCCCCTCTCTATTTTCTCCCCTAAAAACACACGATACCATTATTCATAGTACACGTATAAAAGTGGAGAAACTACGAAAATGTTCAACAAAATGGTTAAATAAATTATGGTGAACACACAAAGTGGACTCCTATATATCCACTTAAAATAGTATTTTTGAGTAACTTAATGATAGAAAAAATATGCTCATACATGTAAAAAGCACATGAGAATCACATTTTCATTATGATACAAATTTTCTTAAAATGTATACACAAATGCACAGAAAAAAAGACTTCAATGAAATACATCCAAATGTTAAGAGTATTTTTTTAGACACTGCGATTATGGTAAATTTTTCCTTTTTAATCTTTTTGTGTTTTCCAAATGCTCTATAATTTTCCTCAGGGAAATTCACAATAAACACACAGTATACATGTTCTTAAAGCACCAGCTGGTCTCGGGTTAGAAACTGTGAGCGCCCTTTGCTGGGCCTGTTCAATGCGGACAGAAGCCCTGGTGCTGCGGGAAGCCGTGGCTGCGGGCACCTTGGCCTTGTCTGCGATCCTGGGGCTGCCATCCCACAGCTCCAAGGTGAACCTTTCTCACATGGTGGCCCCTTGGTTGATCATTTTCAGCAACTTCACAGAATGGCCTTATGATCCAAACACTAACTGCATGAGGACTAAAGTGAAGCTGGACCGTTCACTGTGTTGCCTCCCAGTGCCCTGCCCCCACCCCCTCCCATTCCCTCCAAGCAGACAAGCAGAGTCATGATGCAAATAATACCTTTACTCTGAAACTCTCAGACCACAACTTGCAGGTCTCACAGAGCCTATGAGCACACTCGGGGCCAAACCATCTGCCAGGCGTTCTTGGTCATATGAGGCACGTGGCTTGCCAAGGCGCCACGGCCAACCGCAGGCACGTGCCTCCCTTAGAGCTCAGAGTGCCCCAGCTGTCTCAGAGACACTGCTAACTGGAGGCCGGGGGTGGGGACAGGAAGGGCACATCGTAGCTTGTCCAAACAGTCTGTAGCAATCTTCTGTGTGCTTGGGAGAAGGGAGAAGCCCCTTTCTCTTACTACTGTCTCCCTTTCATATCTTAGTGGATGGAATAAAAGGTAGTTTGCCTCTAAGGGGGAAATATGGTTGGTCACAATAAACACAGATGACTAATATTCTGGTGTTCAATTTTATTTCAAGAGCTGCTGGGTGACACAACAAGGCGGAAGTATCAAAGGAGTGGGAACATTTAAAAAGCTGACAAAATATAAATATTGTTGCCACTACCAAGAACTCCAGAATCACTGAAATGCCACAAGAAGATGCATTAATTGAATAATAAATGTAACTCCTCATTGCACTGAAGGGATGCCTCTTAAAAAGAGAGGCATGGTCAGTGGGTTCCTTCTCAGTGAACAAATCTGACTGGCTGCCTGGAGCCCTGGGTTCAGGATTCTGAGGCTCAGTGGGAAAGATTGTGATTAGTTCACAATAGCCGTTGTGGGTACAGGGGGCACAGCTGCACACATCTACATATTTGCCATCTTGTCCTAAAGTGACATGCCATTGAGTATTCTTTTTCATAACACATTTAGGTTATCCACATGGACTCAAACCCTAAGTACCATTTAACATCCACCCTCTCTTCAGCTTAGGGTGGCTTGTAGAAGAGGTTCCAGCAAGCCAAGCATGAAATCATTGCTGTCCACCTTCCCCTCTCTCCTCTTCCTGGCTCCCTACCTTACCTCTGATGTGAATCCAAAGCATGTAGTTCTAGGTCAAGCGCCTCAGACACATGGGAGGCCCTTCCCTTTGGCAGGAAATACTCAGATGCTAATTTGAGAGCTGCTCACCCTCTGTCTTTACAGGAGGGAGAGAGAAGAGAAGTGGTCCTCAATGGCTTTCAGGATGCTTAAGACACCTTAGCCGAAGGTCTGCAGATGCACTGAGAGGCTGTGTGGAAAAGGAACTAGACTTGGCATCTGGAAGCCAGGGCTCTAGTCGGGGACCTCTGCCAAGCCACCACCTGCACTGCGCTTCAGCGTCCTTCTCTGCAAAGTGGGGACTGTGACACCTGCTCTGCTCCAGAGAAACTATGAAGAGTGAATGAGAAAGCGAATGCGGCCACAGTCTACAAACCATAGCGCCTTATGTGAATCACCTAGTCACACTATTTCACCTTGCTTCTCATTTTAAAGCACAGCCAGTTCTATTATTTGGGAGTCACTGCAGCAGCACTGGAGCGTCTCCAGCCCCTGCTTCTCCCCGTCCCTTCTGCGGGGCTTGCTGCTGGACCACCTCATTGTTAGCACTGTAGGAAGAGGAGTAACTCGATTCTCTCAGCCTCTTCATTCGATTCTCAGGCTTACATTCAGTGTTCCATGGAACCAACCAACTCTGTCTCACTTCAGATTCAGTAATGATAGCTAATACTGATTAAGTTACAATCTGCTAGGCACTGTGTAAGCAGCTTGTATGTGTATTAATTCCTTTGGTCCTTGTAATAATCCTATGGGGTTGATACTATTATTATCTCCCTTTTACAAAGAAGATCTAGAGATGTTGAGTAAATCTGCCCATAGCTGCCCATTAAGTGTCAGAGCAGGATTCAAACCCAGGCCAGTGAGGTGCAGACTTTACACATCTAGCCACCAGGCTACCCGGGAGATTCCCTTCCAGCTGTTCCTGTAGGTGGAGGCGTCAATGTTTTCTACTGTTTAAAAAGTTCAAGCAGAAGTTTTTAAAAAATTCAATATACATTTATAAGTATGTATAATTTGGAAGTATGCAGTGGAAAACAGAAAAAGTACCAGAGCTAGAATTTGCTGGGAATTCCAAAGGACTTCAAACAGATATGTAATAATCTAGCAATGCCACCTTTGGCCTCATGCTCATCTATGGTAGGGAAGTCTGAATTTAACTTTGGATTATCAGAGGTGGGGGTCGGGGGAGGGAGAACTGGATGAAGTCAATCAAAAAGTACAAACTTCCAGTGATAAGTTGAGTAAGTACTAGCGAGGTAACGTACATCATGATAAATACAATTAACACTGCTGTATGCTCTATATGAAAGTTAAGAGAGTAAATCTAAAGAGTTCTCATCACAAGAAAAACAGTGCTTTTTCCTATTTCTTTAATTTTGTATCGATATGAGATCATAGATATTCACTAAACTGACTGTGGTAATCATTTCATATGTAAGTCAAATCACGATGCTGTCCACTATAAACTCATACGGTGCTACATGTCAATTATACCTC